TTGTTCAAGGTTTTGAAAAATCTGCCGTCGAGAAGTGCCATTCAAGGAGGAGACAATCCTGCGCATATGAGTTTTCGACTCCCATTTATTCCATTTAGCTACGAATTCAGTCAATTGTGACCCAGAGCGAACAGATTCTGGGTGGTCATTCTCGGAAAAAGACCTCTCCATCTCAAAGTCTTTCTGAATATTCTTCCCACTTCTTCTTATGTCAACTGACCTTGCCAAAATGGCGTCGTAGCAGCTCTTATAATGTTGGCCGAGTCTTCAGACACCATATTCTTTTATTTACGAGGCCTTCATCAATGGGGGAGGAGAAGTGTCTACGACACTTGTACATCCTATAGGCACGGTATTGAAACAATAGCGGTGAACCTCTTTCTGATTGCCTTTTCAGAGACTTAGTAGCCCTGTGTACCCAACAGGTGGTACACAGGGCTACTAAGTCTCGAGCGTGGCAGTACCTCTCAAGCGTAATTTCCTTAGTTGTCATCTTCGCCACATGTGGTCCTCACATTAACACATTGAATGCTGCGGCGTTTTTGCGGCGACTCCCGTTTTTACTCCCTGCGTTTCCGCGCGCGTGATTTTCGTGCAATACACAAACGCGCGAAACGAGAGTCTTTGTGCCGCATGCCCCTTCACACGTTCATTCTGATTACTTTTGCGCTCATTTCTATATTGTTCAGTATGAATGGTGACTTCTTTCAGCTGCATAAGATCTGGACAACGTAGAAGATCTAAACGTCAGTTTCGACGACATAAGTGTTGTTATCATAATCAATTACAATATGAAACGTATTGTAAATTGACACAATTGTCTCTAAATTTAATTATCACTAGAAGTCTTACCGGAGTATCATAAGAAGGGCAATTATCGACCGCGCCATTGACTGTTATTTTGAGATATTAATGAATTACTTCAATGAGCAACTTATTTCACGCCATTAAGAACAAAGCATAAGCAAAGCTCACTGAACATACACTCGGTGAGAATGGTTCAAGTCGCACTCTTATCCACGAAAAAACTGGTCCACAAAATTGTGGGCAATACACAAAAGCGAGAAACGGGAGTATGCGCGTGTATTGCCTACAATTCACGCGGCGTTCAATGTGTTAATATAGGATTGGTAGAAATTGTCCCCTTCTGAACAGGAGCGTGACGCCATAGTTCTCTAGTTCTCATACTGGTGCAACCCAGAGCTGTTGCCCAGTTACTAGTGTTTACGTTCTGGCGCCTTCACGGTGTCCAGCACACCTATTTCGGTGGCCTATTAATGCTTGACCTGTCCTCAAATAAAATATCTCCAGCTCCCAAACGCTGATGCCAACGAAACAGTGAGGCATGACGAGCGGCATCCTTCTTGATTACAGCGCAAGAGTTAGCTATCTTGACTGCAACAGCACGATGTTGAGCTTTGGTCAGCAGGAAAACAGAGTTGTCCGTGTCTCGTCCTTGACAAGGCGTTCGCTTCCGTGCTCTTAGCCTTGGTCGCGGCTGTTTTCGACGAGTCGTTTACAACTTTTGTAGGCCATCGTATCTTCTAAAGCCGTACTTTCCTATCGTCGGTTTCGTTTTCCGCTTAGCAATTTGGTGGATAAATAATCACGATAAATAGTAGATTGGGAAAGTTCCTGTAACATTTTGACCAAAATTGCGGACCGGATTTCCTTCACCAAACGACATTTCCAATCTACAAGGTGTCGTCATGAGATACTAGGCAAGCGCCCACTCTTTCATACAGCTTCTCAATGCTACTCTCGTGCAACTACGGCTCTAAGTCAACCATGATGAGAAGAAAAGATAGATCTCACTCTCCAGTGGAAGTCGTTTTCAAGATTTTTGCTTTCGAAGGATGCAGTAAAAGGGTAAGTAGGTGAGAGCTAGAGGCAAAGAATTTTGGTGAATAACAAGAGTACGGTCAATCGACATAGATTACCTTTGACGTAACATCATCGCCACATGCGGTCTTTGTATTGCCGAGGAGCAGAAAGGAATTGAGCTCCTCTGAATAAGATTCAGTGCTACGCCAGCCGTTTTGAAATTTGATAGTAGACGTGACCGGCACTGCTGTTCCAGTATCCAGTGATATTGCGTTGAAGTCCCGCGTATAAAATAGTGAAATATTTATTATAGATGAACATCTGCCTTTGGCTGAGCAGGAGACCTTATTACTTAAGAGATCAGATGAAGGTTATGCGCAGAAACAGCTCTAACGACCACAATGTCTGGCAAAAAGTCCTTCCATTGTGTACATAGAAGGGAAGGTACAGCGACGACCACGGTGTGCGTTGTCAGGCCGGTGCAAATCATGTGGCATCCTTCATAGAAAATTTTCCCGATAACCGTAATAGCGGTGAAGCATGACAGTTGTCACCCAGGTGCAGAGAGTTCGCCAGCTCCTAGAGGCTACGTTTGGATGTTCCTCCACGGGGGGTGAGTAAAGGGCCGTCATTCTGTGCTGGTGGCCGATGTATGCGTTGCCTGGCTTCGAAGAAAATGACTCCGAATTGTAAGCTCCGATATCAAATCGACATTGTGGCGTGGCAGGGGACGGAAAGTGGCCCTACAGGCACTCATAATATTAGACTGGTTAGCGTTCCACGAGAGAAGAACTACGAACTTCCCAGAAAGTGGAATTTCCGAAACATAGCCGGGCGAAAATGGAGAATACAGCATTCTTTCATCAGAAAATGTTTTTGTTTTTAGAACGCTGACTTCCAATCACCTTTCGAGCAACCCAGTACGAGGCGGGTGGCAGGGGCGAAAGAAGATACTTTTCTCCTCAATTTTCAAAGCGAAATAAGTTCCACTTAGTACCTCTGATTGTACGTTTCCACCACCAAATTCAACAACACATTGTACACAATCAAAAAAATTCCGCCACAGCCTCCTAGAAGAACGCCATCGAGAGATGAAGCGACCGTGATTCGGTGTTTGAGTTCAGACGGTCGTTGAGTTCTCCGCTACTTTAGACCACCCTGTTGAGTCCTTCCGAATCCAGTAATCGAGGGGGTTTGGGTCAGGTGACACACTCGGATATTCCGTCTTTTCCAGGTATTCGACGACCTTCGTTTCTGGGTAGGCGAGAAATTTTTTCCAACGTCCTTCGATTCCATGTGTTGACACCCATTCCTGTAGCAGTACGAAGTACGCAAGACGGTACGTGTGACAACGCACGATATGAACGCACGATATTTTCCTCAAGCAGTTAGACGTAACAGCCAGCGTCAATTTTCAGTTCCAGGTTCAGGGAGGCAGTATCGGTCTTCTCATTCCAGGAGCTTCCGGTCCATACCATCAACCCACGCCTTGGCGTCTGCGATGAAGATGATATCCCGGACCAAGCGACGTCGTTGGAGCCGCTTGTTGTTGGAGGTCTTCCAGATTAAGGGTGCCGGTCTCCAGGTAGCGTCCATGGGCGACTCGATATAAGAAGTTTCGCACCTATCTGGATTACGTGACTTCCTTAGGCCTTCTTCAGTTCTGCTGCGATTGCAGATGTACATTATTTTGGTGTACATGAAGGTGATGGAGAGCCTGCTTCTTCTTACTGAAGAACATCTTGGGTATCTTCCGCCCAAGTATTCGTGTCCACGTCTTCTCTCTGGGCTGCGTATTCTTTACTGATATGTGCCTCGGGCAAGTGTTTTTTCTTGCCCCCTGAATATACCATTTTCACTTTAAATTCACCACTTTTCAAAGAAAATTAACAACTTTTCAAAGCAAATTCACCACTTTTCAAACCAAATTCACCACTCTTATTAGACCAGGCAGTTCGCCAACCAAATCAGGCCAGACACCACCGCGAACCCTGCCCCGACGGTCACGCCTACTCGACAGAGATTTTTAGCATGTACTGACTCCGCCCATTCTTCAAAGTTTGTTGCGAACTTCAAATCTTCATAAATTCATATTTTTAATTTCACATTCACTTTTCGCACAACGAAGGTACTCGCAGGAGCGTATTCATGCACCGGCAATTTAGGCTCCGCCCCTTTGGCCACGCCCACTTGCTGTTTGCGAAATTATGATATTTTTTTCAAAATTTTTGCGTTTTTGGACTACCCCGTGAAGCCCCGCCAACTATGAGAGGCTCCGCCCACTCGGAGAAGCCCCGACCATTTTCAAAAATGGTGTAATCTCGTCCGTCACTCGAAACAAATAAATCAGGCAAAGTTTTCCTAATGACCAGCAATACGCTTGCCATGCAAGCCATGGCTTCATACTGCCGACTTGCACCATTTTTGAAAAGTGGGCGGGGCTTCTTCGAAGTGGGCGGAGACTCCCACAGTAGGCGTGGCTTCACGGGCAGTCCAAAAATGCAAAAATTTCGAAAAAAAATCTCAATTCTGCAAACAGAGCAAGATTCAAAAAGCTATTAACATTTGAAGTTTGCAACAAACTTTGAAGAGTGCGCGGAGTCAGTCATGTGTTGAAAATCTATGTCCGCGCTGACAAGTGGGCGTGACCGTCGGGGCAGGGTTCGCTGTGGTGTCTGGCGTGATCTGGTCGGCGAACTGCTCAGTCTAAAAAGAGTGGGGAAATTGGTTTAAAAAGTGGTGAATTTGCTTTGAAAAGTGGCGAATTTGGTTTGAAGTGAAAATGGTATATTTGACAAAATATACGGAGATGAGAATGATACGATGGACATGCTCGACTCAACTGCAGTCGATGTGAAATCGTCCAATGCAGTATTAGCGAAGAGTGGTTACCCTTTCCCTCATCGTATGCGACTTAGCTAGTGGAGTCATATTCAACAAAGACTTTCTAACTTCCTAGTGATATGTTGTACTTACATCAGAAAGGCTTCTTTCACCTGATAATGCTCTAAAAGACAACTTCTGAACACATGACAATAGAGTTGCCATAAATGCCTACGTCCACTCCACAGTCAATGCTTAGAAGCGGGAGAGCGCTGATGAGGAAAGCCCACCACAACAGTTGGATAAAAACAAAAAAAACGAGTGCTCGTAAAATCAGTGGTGTTCCTTACCCGCCCTATGTACACCCGTTCTGTTGATCGACCAACTGTATTTGCTACAGATCCTTTGTCAATCACACATGTTGACTGATGTATTCTACGATGTTGTTTCAACGCAGACGAGCTGATGTGACGGCGCAGCAATATTCCGGAAACTGTAGAGATGTATGATTTGCTGTGCATCTGTAGAGGATTGGTAATTTTCCAGTGATTTCACGGGTAAGTGTACTTACCGCATCCGCGATGGGTGATTCAGTGATAGCCTCCTCATATTCACACTCATCGCTGTACGCTTAAAATACATGAGCTGCCGTAACACGGTTGACTTCACTTTACGGTTTTTTCTTACCTTCTTCGTAGTCATCGCCAACACTGTTTCTCCGTAATTCTTCTTCTTGTTCACACTCTCTCAAGAGTTCTTGCAGTGCGCCAGCTTGCATTAGTTCTTTATAGCTTCCTTGGTGTTCTATCCTTCCATCTGAAGCTATCAAGTAAAAATAATACCATCCCCTATTTTAGTTCAGGTTGTAATTCAAACGTAGCCACTAGATCACCATTTACAACAGCACTCAGAGTATCGAAGAGGAAGCTCGGGACGCAAAATGACACTGTTAGCCTACCTACCGACATTGTTCCTAACTACCCTGTCCTCTAGAGCTTAAGTCGCACCCGCATAGAAGGCTCACCGTAACTTAGAAGCCATGAAAAGTTTTTTCCTCTGGATTTCTTTTGCAAATTGCTTTTTGTTTTCTTGTCATGTGAATTATTTATACTAAATGAGACGTGCCTGAAACAATTAGGAGACTTAGTGTGCAAAATAGAATAAAAAGCATTTGCTGTGTTCAGAAACATTGCCACGCGCGCCGCGTGCTTCTCGACGATGTAAATGCGCCTTAAACCCTAGAAAATAGGGTATTGATTCGTCCGTAAGCCAGCGATAGCAACAGAGCTATTCAGCAAGATAAATTATATATAAGAACTTGTCCGGTTTTTCTCAAAATAATATAGGTTTTTGGCTTTGGTTCTGAATGAAGTTGTCTCATCGCTGGGAGAAATTTTCTCTTATCAAACAGAGCCACCGCAGTTTGCAGATACTTTTCGACGAGCAGCGATTGAGCCTTTTCTCACAACATATAATTCTGAATGTATCAAGGTGATGAGTTTAGTTAATGTAGCTTTCACTCAGTTTAGGTTTATACAGCACTATTATTCGCACAACATGGTAATTAGATGCTTGGAGGAGTGGCAGTCAGTGGATGCCAGGAAAGGCATTTAGCTGCTCGGAGAAGTATGCTCTGCAAATATGATAGAATCGTTGAATTCGTTGATTTTTTGCATAACGTCCGATAAGCTAACCCACCTTCTCCTCAACATGGAGAGTCTTTTCTTTAGGGGCTGTTGCGTTCCTGAAATAAACTTTCGCTTCCCTTTTGCTTCATTTGCGATTCTCTTGCCATGTTTTATGAAAGCACATTACTTCTAAACGATGTATTGGCTTCCTCAGCTCACTGTCATGTACAATTTACGCGAGACTGATGATATCCGTCACCCCACTGCTGCTCAACTCGGTAACCAGTATTTCTATGAGTTTCTTATTTTTGTGAAAAAGTAACTTCTACAAAACTAGGGGGGGAGCTAATAATGGTAGAATTTACATTTGATGTTGTCTGGTTTGTAGTTTTGCTTGACTTGTCGACCGAGGGGTGAACGAGCTTGGCCAAGGAAGCTAGTTCGAATTGGGAGGTCGCTTACCGGGAAGCCTCGTGAAGTTGCCGACCTCATGAAAGCAGGAACATCCAAGTCCTATGCCTTCAGGAAACGCGATGGAAGGGCGCGAAGGCCCACGAGATCGAAGAAGGTGTCAAACTCTCCTAAATGGAGCAGACACAAACGTAATGACATGGCCATAGCGGTGACAGAATCCCTCAAGGACTGCGTCTTCTATGTGAACAGAAACAATGATCGGATCTTGGGAGTGAGAATGGACACGAAGGAGGGGTACTGGACAATACTGACCGTGTACGCACCACAATTCGGTTGCTCCGAGGTGGAAGAGGATGAGTACTACCTGACCCTGGACGGGGCCATAGATCTGTTCCGGAAGATGACTACCTCACCGTGGCCATTCAGCTGGGTATCTGAATGGCCATGTAGGAAGTGACAGAAGAGGCCTAGAAAGGGTGCACGGAGGTCAGGGAATAGGATCAAAAAAACGCTGAGGAAAAAGGGATCCTTGACTTAGCCGCAGCTCACGACTCAGCAATCTGTAACACCTTCTTCGCGAACTTGAGGACGCAGAACATAACCTACAGCAGTGGAGGGAGACAAACGGAAATCGACCATGTCCTGGTCAGAAGATCGTCTCTCAAAACCGTCAAGGATATCAAGGTTCTGCCTGGGAGAGAGCTGGGCCCTCAGCACAGGCCTCTTCTGGCAGAAATAGCAACAGACCTTCCCAAGAAGACGAGGGTGAGAAAAGAGTGGAGAAATCGGTGGTGGAAAATGCGCAAGGTAGGGAAGGAAAGCCTCGGCAGAAAAATACTGGAGACCAGGCTCGACCCGCATGGGCCAGTCTATGACATCTGGACCTACGCAGCACAGGTCATCCCACAGTGTGCAAAGGAGACATCCTGGGAGAGACGCGAGGTGGTATCAGAGGAGACAAGGTAGCCTGGTTGTGGAACAAGGAAGTCCAGAGGGTCGTCAAGCATTAGAAGGAAGCATACAAACGCTGGCAAAAGACACGGAGCCCAGAACACTACGCTTCCTACAAGAGCTGCAGCGATTCGCTAAGGCAGCCGTTGCTATGACCAGGAATACGGAAATGGATGCCCCGTACGAGAAGCTGGAGAGCCGAGAAGGGGACAAGTTGGTCTTCCGCGTGGCCAAAGCCGGGCATCGCGGTGCTCAGGACATCAGGGTCGTAAAGAGTATGAAGAGCAGCAACGGGGCTCTACTCAAGAAACAAGCCGAAGTCAGAAAGAGGTAGGAGGCTTCGAGAGACTTTTGAACGGAGAGTTCCCCCGCAAGGATAGCTTACAGATGGAGGCAGCAGCAGGCTCCATCACTCCTTAGACGAAGGATGAAGTCCACCGAGAGATAGGGAGAATGAAGGTTGGGAAAGCAGTGGGTCCAGACGGGGTACCAATGGAGGCCTGGAAGGCCCTTGGAGAGCCTGGGTGAGTTGGCTCACACACTTCCTAAACAACGTAACGGCCGAAGGAATGATGCCGGATGCGTGGAGGAGCAGCACAATCGTCCCCATCTTCAAACAGAAAGGGGAGGCGACGGAGGCTCCAACTACCGCGGCATCAAGTTGACTCCCCATACCATAAAGCTGCACGAGCTCCTGGTCAACACAAGGCTGAATGAAATTGTCCCTATTCATTATGTCGCAAGAACGGTTCGGCTTCATGCCTGAAAGGCCCACCT